CCTCTTCTTTGTCCAAAATCAGTGCGATTATCATAAGTTCATCATCCGAAAACATTGCCAACTACTTATACCCTAAACTTAGGTGTCTACTCTGCCCTTCCGTGAGTCCCCATATGTCCCACAATTGTAATCGAAGAAGGGAAAGATAAGAGAAGATACTAGGAATTTACGGGTGGAGAAGGGTAAGCAAAACTAGAACCGACGGATTAGGTTGATGGAGGCTACACAGCGGCAGGAAATTTGTGAAATGTGAGGGTGCCAGGAGAGGTTTTGGTTGATAATCCCAAGGTTTTTGACGGAGGTACGAAAGTGGACGGGGTTTTTTATAGTGAGGAAAGGAATATCGGTGTTGGATAGGAGGAGAAGTCTGGATCCGATGATTATGGACTCGGATTGAGGTCGAGGGAATTTTAATGGACTTTTTACATTAAAATTCTTTTATTAATGGAATTAAGGTCGTTCTGGATCTTTAGGATGGAAGGATAGGTAAATTTGGGAGTCGTCGGCATAAAGATAGTAATTACGGTTATAGTTTGAGTCGGAGAGGTCGTTAATGTATATACTAAAAAGGATGGGAGAGACGCTAGAGCCTTGGGGAACGCCAGATTACGCCCCAAAAATTAGCTTACGTTTCTAAAGTGGCACTTAACAATAATTTATGAATATGAAAATAATAGGTTTGAGTAATTGAGTCAAAAATCGTAGATGTTGCACCACCATCAATGGTAAGGTTCCGATGTTTAATCGATAGTCACCATCGATGTTTTTCTATCGACGCTCTCCTTACTTCCAAATTCGTGAAATGCAGCACAATAAATTTAATAAACGTATGCGTTATAATGATCTTATTTACGTCCAGTTCTGTCAATAAATTATATTGCCTTTTACGTTGTTTGTTATTTTATCTTTCGACCTGTCTATTCGAATTCTTTGTTATTACATTTTCATGTTATTTGATATGTATCATTTTTATCTTGTGGGTGAGCTGTGTCTATTTGGACTTTTTTCCATTTGTTAGATTTCTCCTGTGTTATGGCAAGTGACGAACCGGTAGATTGTTCTTTACCGATCATTTTGGTCAGACGCGTTAAGACATTTCGCCATGTCCTGTGTTGTTTGTTTGAAAAGCGTCTGAACAAAATGATTTGTAACGCAAATAATTTATTAGTTGTTTTTCGTAAGTTTCTAGTTCATTTAATCTCTGTTGTTGTCGTATCGTATTGTTCTCGTGTGTGCATCTTTCGATTATATTTTGTGGATTGTATTGAAATTGTTGTGTGCTTTTCTAGTTATTTCAGTTCATTTTTGTATTTCTCTTTTCGTGCATTATGTGTGGGAGGTTGTTAAAAATATAACTAAATGAACTTTGTTGTCAGTTTTTATGATTTTAATCCGAGGAAGATAACACTTACTAAAAATGAAAAAATCGTCAACAAATTAAACAAAAATGTTTTTTTCCAAAACCGGTTTTTTCTGAGCCATGTTATGTGGTCTTGAGTTTTGAAATGGAATCATCATTACCAGACGAAATTAGTAAGTCTTTAAGGCATTTGACTCAGTTGGTCATGAGTTGCTATTGCAAAATGTCTGGTATGGGAATTTTTGGTGTGCCTTTGAAACTTTTTAGTTCTTACCTCTCTAATCAAACTCAAGTGAATAAAGTGCCCTCTCTGTTAGTATTCCATGTAATATTTTTTCTGACATACCACAAGGATCAATTTTAAGGCCAGTTCTGTTTTATTTATGTTTATTTATGTATTTTATTAAATTTGTTAAAACTTGATTTATCTGGGAAACTTTTTAGTTATGCCGATGATTTGTTCTGATTTTTTCTAATGGATATAAATAAAAACGTAAGAGTTGTACATCCTTATTTTCCAATAATTACCTTTTAATTAGTATGAAATAAACATTTGTAATGCCTTTCTTTTTAGAATAAAATTTAACTTCAAAAAATGTATAGTTGCTTTCCATACTTGCTTCCATGCTGTTTGTGCATTTTGGTATTTCGGTAATAGAGAAAAAAAGACGAAATATATTTCGTTATCAGATTTTGTGATTGTTAATCTGAGGTAGATTATACTTATTAAAAATGAAGAATTCGTCAAAGAAATTATACAAAAAGTATTTTTACAAAACTGGTTTTCGGCTTTTTCTGAGCAATCTTAAGCGGCGTTGAGTTTTGCAAAGGAGCGACCACCACCAGACAAAATTTATGACGAGGTTGTGGGGTAGAATTCACACTAGAAAATGGATTAAAACAGGTTCTCTTCCAAGACCCAAGATTACTGAAAATGGGTCGGTAAATGCCGAAAACCAATTTTGGGAAAAAAACGCCGTAATAAGACGACTTCTTAATATCTAACGTCAATTCAACCCAACGATTTCCCTACATTACGCAGAACTTAATACTTTTATTACTTAATATGTCAGGTTGGTTGTTTTATCTATTGTGGCGTGTGTATGTTCTCTGTGTAAAATGTGAGAGAATGATCTAGCCCTGAAGATGGCGAGAAAACGTAACATGCCTGAAAGAAGCATTGTCCAGAGATTATGCAGCAAACACTGGGAAATAAACCCCAGGATGGCCTATTGGTTATATACTAAAACAGACAGATACCTGGGTCACATAAGGAGCTTAATATGTGGCCAAAAGCACCAAAGGACATATAACACAAACTGCAAAATCTCCAAAGATTAACGTGCCTTCTTAATATAACAGGAACGATGCATGCTTGTTGCAACTTCAAATATTTTTGTACAAAAGTGGGTTTTGGAAAGAAAGCCAGATCTAAAAAGACTGTCTGACTAAAATAGTGAGGATTGGCAAAGCAAAATGATTGGAGGTTATTAAACTACAGGTTACTGGCAATATGGTTCCATCGTGCTACGTCAAAATATCTGACCATTACATGACCATGGTACCTGGCGTACCAAAACAATGAGGATAAGCTGACCAAAATGTCCAAAAAGACAACAATATCATACTTTTTTTTTCTTGTGTTGTTTTATTCTACTTTTAATCATTGTAGGGAGGTCCAAAACTGGCAACGACCACGGCATAGAAAGAATTTGTACGACATCTGCTGACTATAATCCAGATTATGTTATAACTGATAATTGAATATAGAAGGGACCGAAAAATTTCTTTAAGGAAGAAAATTTCTCTCTCTCTCTCTCTTTCCCCATCGTCCTCACTCTTCCTTTCTCCTTCCTCTTCTCTATCCTCCTTTTTCTGACACCCCCTTTTTATTTCTCTCTTTCTTTTTATGACAGGCCATTAAACTACAGATTACAGCAATATATGTTGTATGGTGATAGGTCAAAATATCTGACCATTAACCCCTGGCAGACAAAGAAATGAGGATAAGCTGACCAAAATGACCGAAAATTAAAAATATCTTACTTGCTTTGCTGTTCTTTTGGCCTATTTTTAACAATTGTAGGAGGTCCGTAGTTTCCAAGAGCATCAATGTAATGCATAAATTACTGCCATAGAAAGAATTTGTACGACATCTATTGGCTATAATCTAGATGATGTTATAACTAATAATATAATATAGAAGGTACCGAAAAATCTCACCTAAAATTTTTTAAATTGTGAGATTTCCTTGTCTCGGGTAAAATGAACCTGTAGTTTGCACGTTTTTAATAATTTTGGTTTGACTATCCTGGTTGCTTTAATCTTTCAAAAGCTCTCTCTCTCTCTCTCTCTCTCTCTCTCTCTCTCTTTCTCTCTCTCTCTTTCTCTCTCTCCCTCCCCCCCTCTCTCTGTTTCTCTAATTATAATAATAATAAAATTAATAAAAAAAACGACAACGAGGATAGGAAGAAACAATTGATCACGAACAACCTAAAGCCTTATCAAGTCACTTGGCCAGTTTCGTCTCGAACAAAGGGGGTATTCAAAGGACCTAATGCAGGGCCGCTGGATTCGAACCCGGGACCTTTACCTTACACTGATGAGTACCATGTCAACACCTAACTCGTTGCGGCCACTGGCGCCCTAAGGACCTTGTGTTATTAATTATTTATCATTAGTAATAAATTATGTGGCAATTTAAAAGGAATTGGGTTATGACAAATTTTAATTTAAAAAAGCTGAATTTCAGAACACATCTATCTCCTTATGGGAGGTTTTGTTCATACTGTAGGTCAATAACATTTATTATGATTATGAATAATAATATTATCTTGAGATATTAACTTAAATTTTTTTTACGATTTAAATTTTGTGTATGCATTAAAATTAAAAACAACTGCAATCACTTGCTTTGAGCTTGTTCTTCATTAAATTCACTAGTTTCGTGGTCCGCTTGACCAATTAACATCTTTCAATTAATTAAGGTTTTTAGTTGAGGTAAAAAAGTCAGTGTCACGAGCGGGATTCGAACCCACGATCTTCGGCTAGATACGCCGCTGCTCTACCACTTGAGTTATCGTAACCACGATCCACTCGGACACTAACTTCCCATCACAACCTCACCTTTTGAATTTTCCCTCCTTTTTGCCATTTTTCTAATGTCGTGTAATCTATTTGTTGCTCGGCGACAAATGAAATGGCCACGGAGAGCTTTAGTGAAGGCATACTTCATTTAAACTTATTAAATTCACTAGTTTCGTGGTCCAGATCGAGGTCACGATAGCTCAAGTGGTAGAGCAGTGGCGTATCTAGCCGAAGATCGTGGGTTCGAATCTCGTTCGTGACACTGACTTTTTTATCTCAACTAAAAACCTTAATTAATTGAAAGTTATTCTCATGTTAATTCTGACCAGATACACATCTTAAAGTATATACTACTGGTCGATAATCAACATAATCATTAAATTTATTTTATAATGTTTACTGTTGAAATTGTTTTGTTCTTAATTTGAAATCATAAGGTGAATAAGAAAGAATACAAACAGCAGTACAATTTCATAGAATGTTTTAATAACAAATAATAAATATATATTAATAAATAAAATAAATAATTTGAATAAATTATGTTTTTGGCCTGTCCTTTAAGGATGAGAGATGGAACTGTGTCGACCGTGCCGTTAAGCATCGGGACCAAAGTTCTTGCATGGATAATTACCGAGTCACGGTTTTCAGTTCTTGTTTTTGATAGAAAGACGTCGCTACAAGACTGCTTGCGCGTGATAAGCCAGTTGCTGCATTCCTTCTGGATCGAAGCTCCTTCCCCAGCCTCCGTGTCCTCCGCCGCTTCCGTGGCTCTCGGCGTAAACGACCTGGGGGTGGGAGTCGCCTCCGCCTCCACCGCTTCCGAAGAGTTTCTTGAGCGCGATGATGGCTGAAAGAAAAAGGGCCATCTTGCCGACGAGCAACGCTTTGCCGGCCAGAAGAGCGACCTTGCCCATTGCCAACTGCACCATCATTCCTCCCATGGCCAAAGCGGCCATCATTATCATCCCTCCTTTCTTTCCTCCGCCTCTCTTCCTTCCTAATGTATCATCAAAAACAAAAAAGCATTAGTTTCGAAATATATATTTGCATCCAAAGAAAAAAGAAGTCATGTCTAACTTTAACGATTTTAGAATACATATGTGATAATGGCCCATCCCAATTAAAATTTTCAATTTAGGAAGAAACACGACAAATCTGATTGGTTGTGGACAGTTTTGAGCAAAAATTAGTCATGTCTAATGATTAATGATTGATCACTCAGATGATCATGTTAGTCATGATTGGTAGTAAGTGACTAATTTAGTCAATAGTCGCCATATGTGATTGATGACTAAATTAGTCATGACTAGTTATTAAATACGAGGCATGACTAATTTAGTCACAATATAGTTAGTCATGACTAAATTTCGATAAATCATGTTCAAATGGTGCTCAAAAAATGAAAAATACACTTCATCGGTTTTAAAAAATTTCTAACAGAAATTTATTTCATCAAAACGAAAATCTTTCAACACCTTATTTAACAAAAATCAATCTTCCAATTATATGGAAAACTCCATCGTTATGAAAAGCCAAAAAATAATGATAATGATAATAATAATAAAATAAAATAAAAAAATCTTATAACGCTTTGAAAATTAAATATGTTTACATAACCGATCAATGTAAAAAATATTTCTTTGAATTAAAATTTATTCCACTTAAAAGGAGATATTTCTACATTATTTGGAAAATACACCATCTAGGGGTCTTGATTGTAATAAAATAGACATGTAGAATAATTATGAAACTTTGGTATTTGTTTATGATAACAATTTTTGAAGGTTGGCCTTGAGCACGACTCTCATCTCAAAATTCATATCCGGAGTTGGTTGGATTTTGGTAAGTTGGTCATTGTAGCCAGAGTTGGGCAAAATCAAACTAATTCACTCATGATTAAGAATTTTGATTGAAGTTTAATCATGATTGAATTCAATTATGAAGTATGACTAAATCATATAATGATTAATTTACTCATGACTAATTCTTTACTCATGACTAATTCAATCATGATTAAACTTCAATCAAAATTCTTAATAATGATTTAATTAGTTAGATTTTGCCCAACTCTGGTTGTGGATGGGTCACCTGGAAAATATCGAAAGAGGGGAAAAATTAACAAAAAGACCATCGCCATTTTGCTCGGCCCGAAAGTAGGTCCTATTGATTAAGTTTAATTGACTGTAAAGATTATAAAATATTTAAAATTTGAGAGAATAGGTTTTGGAAGGTGTTTGATTCAGTAAGCAAACCATTAGTATAAATTTTATTTTGGGTTTTAAATTAAAAGGCTCGAAGGGTTTCTTTTCGGGATTCTACCTTACGATACCAAACTGTAAGTTGTTTTTATTTTAATTTTATATGCATCAACTGTTCCCAGAATGATTGGAATCAAATTTTAATGTTAATCAAAAAATTGAATTTTTTGTGAAGTTATTATTATTTTTTAATATTTTTTCTCTCATTTTTCTATTAAAAAAATAATAGCAGCACACATATTTGCTTAGTGGTCATAATTGACAATATTAATTATTAGAATTAATTGTTCTTTTTATCTAAGGTTTTTGGTTGAGATGAAAAATTAGTGTCACGAGCGGGATTCGAACCCACGACCTTCCGCGCAAATCGCCGCTGCTCTATCCATTCACTCCTAAGTGGTTAGAGAGTATGTTGGTGGCAATCTAGGTTGTCAATTTGACTACGATCCTCTCGAACACCAACTCACCAATCAAAAACCTTTAAAACAAATTAATTGTAATAATTAATATGGATTAATTTAATAAATTAAACAGAAGTAATTACTTCACTAAACAGCTCCCCGTGGCTACTTCATAAGTCGCTGAGAATCGAATTCTGATTACACGACATTTGAAAATATGGCAAAAAGGTAAAATTCGAACCGTTGTAGGTTGAAATGGGGAGTTGGTGTCCGAATGTATCTACGTCACGACAGCTGAAGTGGTTAGAGCCGAAGGTCGTGGGTTCGAATCCCGCTCGTGACACTAATTTTTCATCACATCCAAAAAATTTCGATAAAAAGAATAATTAATTTTAAAATACATTGATGCAACTTAAAGATAGAGATTTCTCACGTCAGGGTGGTGATAAACCTTTCATTTCAGGCAACCAAACCGTGTATTGAATATGATAAATTGCTGAAACCGATCCGATATATATACCAGAATGACTTTATATTCTTAAACAAGTAGAAACTTCAACTGGAAGTAGTTTAACTATAATAGTACCAAGCCAGTAAGGGAATTTGGGTAATTAATAAATTAACCTCTAAAGAACTATAAAATACAAACACAGTACGTGACCCAGTAACAGTTCAACATGTGTTCACAGACTCGCAGGCGTGTCTTTTATAGTTCTTGACTGAAGGTGGTGCATTGCCGAAACGTGTTTGTACAGTTCAATTACTATCGAGTTTAGACGGACCCTATAAGTAATCCAGTGCTGATTCAACTCATAAATAAACAAAAATCTATCTACTTTGGCGTTCACCGGCTCGCAGACCAACACCCAATATCAACTTTAGTTATAACTGTGTGGTGATTAGTGACCGTTAGTCGATAATTATTCAGAAATCTTGAGATGCGGTCTGGTGTGATGTAGGTTGCAGAAAAATGTTTTCTTTACGTGTCGTATTGAGAGTGCACTTACGCAGAAAACAAACAATTTGAACCCTGAAGATGATTCCAATAAAGATCGAAACGTTGCCACGATAAAGAAAATGTTTTACTGAAACCTACATCCCACCTGACCGCATCTCACGATTTCTGAATAATTTAATTGTAAGTGTTTTGTAGCTTATGTAATCATTAAGTTTGTTTTCGTTTGTGGGTAACATTTCTGTGCAGAGAACGAGTAAATACTCATAACGAAAACTTCATTCCACACAAATCACCCACTAATGTTGGCGAAATTGGCGTCTGAGTTAATAAAAATTTGCGAGGATGGGAAGAACAGGATGATAAGTACCTATCAAAAAATAAATAGCTTTCTACAATTGTAAAGAATTCTTTGATAAAATAGTTTCCAAAAATTAAAATGTCATGAATATCCTATTAGTTTTTGTTGAAATTTGCAGTTTGCTACGCCATTTTTGGGAAGGTATTTCAACTACGAGATCATATCAATCTTACGAGTGCCGACTATTTTAACAAAAAGCTCAATTTTAAGTTTGTCGAGAGGGATAGACAATATAAAGATTTCGTTTTACTATCAAATTCAATCATTTGAAATTATAAGTTTCAGTTTGGTAAGTGAATGGCCATATTTGTATATCTAGCGAATTATTAATAATATGTTAAAAGACCCGACGAAGGAGATATATTCCTCCAAAGATTGAACTGCCTTGTCCCTGATTTATTCATATTAATATTAATATTATACATTATAAATTTTTATTTACTCATTTACTTAAAAATAGTCAAACATTTGATTAAAATAACATTTAAAAAGATTTCGTTTCAGTTATTTTTCCTATTTGTGTCTTGCAAATCCGTTCTATTCAAAGTAATAACAACTTCCGTTTAATAAGAATTAAAGAAATATGGCTGTTCGATATGTCTCACTTAATTGAAAATGTTATTCCTTGGCTTCATATAGGGAGGGAGCTATATGCTACCTACAATATATACAATATATATATATATATATATAATTATTTGTGCATACTAAGAGTGAATGATTTTATTAGCGTGTATCTCTGAATATTTAAATAAGAAAAAATGTGTAGTATGAGAGAGGGTGTGTATGCCTATGAATAAAGACGGTATTTGTTGGGAGTTCAAATGACCTAGCTGTCTTACTCAGTGGATGCACGGATATAATGGAGGTCTGACTCCGGGCTGCCAAAACTCGAGGTGGATGATAAAGGTATAGAATTGAGCAATCCATCAATCAATCAATCAAACCAATCAATTAGATTTTAACAAGTACATATTATTGTTTGTGTATTTATTGGTTGAAAACTTTGTTTTTTCAATTCAAAATAAACACAATATACGCAGATATATATAAAAAATATAATTAACTAACCCCTGAAGATGATCTCAATAAAGATTATTAATTAAATTATTTTTTTTAATTCAATCAAAGTATTTCTACTTTTATTGAATATAAAAAATATTTTTTGCATTGTATAAATTCACTTTTTCCACATCCTACATGTATTTGTCTATACAATGCAAAAAAAATTTTTTTTAAATTCAATCAAAGTAGAAATACTTTGATTGAATATAAAAAATATTTTTTGCATTGTATAAATTCACTTTTTCCACGTCCTTCTTTTATTTGTTAAATTTAAACAATGTTTGTAAATCCCAGGCCCTGAAGATGAACTCAATAAAGATCGAAACGTTGGCACGATAAAGAAAATGTTTTTCTAAAACCTACGTCACACCAAATCGCATCTCACGATGTCCGAATAATAATTAACTAATTTAATTCCAATTTATTTAATGCTATTTAATCTCAACTGCTTAAACTTAGAAATTAATGTAGCAACTTGCACAATAAGTGTCATCATTTTCACGTAAATGTGTGCCTGAAATTTTTTTTAAACGGTGGTTCCCGACAGCAGAGATCATATCAACCCCTGGGGTGCCGGTGTTTTTGTATAAAAAGGCCCATTTGGTAGTAGGTTGGTTTCAGATTTAGGGCGGCTGGATTCGAACCCGGGACCTTCACCTTACACATGATGAGTAGCCGTGACAGCGCCTTAACAGTTGCGACCACCGACGCCAATTTTTTTCCAAATATTGTGGATTAAATAACTAAATAAAATTACGTACACAATGTTTGATATTTTAATCCATCTTAGACATACTAACGCTAATACTGACCAACGGTAGTTTAGGTTCCGTGCATTGAATAATGTGAAGTTCTTTCAAACAAATTTGTGCTAAGAAATCGCCTAAGTAATCTACATTGTTTCGTTAAGCTCTTAATGCAAATCTTGAGATTATGCTGTGAAGATCATTTAAATTCTAATGCTCGATGTGTAGAAATATTGACTGTTTAATAAGAAATTATTCCTGTTATGTACATTTACATATCTATTACACTTTTAAATTGTCTTTCCAGCTATTTAAAACAAATTTTCCGACTTCCGACGTTATTCGACTCGTAGTCAAGAAATAATGTTCAAATAACGTACATAAAAAATTATTTTGTTTTTCCCGAGGTCTCTCAATAATAACCGAAGTTTAATTGATAACGACTGGTTTAAAGTTTAATAAATAAATCAATCGTGAAAAACCCGTTAATAAAGATTTCTTAAAAGTTTTACGTTTTAATTCGTAATTTTAACGGTAATTTTAGTCGGGCGCTTTCAACCGAGAAATGAAACGGAAGTCGCAATTGGCACTTCGCGGTTTACCAAATAATTTATGCGGTGGAAAAATGTGGGTTATCAGTTTAAAAAATAGCACGATGCAAAAAGAAATTCCGATACGAGAGCTTGTACGTTATAGCATACAAACAAATGAAGAACCATCGAAATTAATATAAAGAGTATAGTTAAGTATGATCGGTTAACACGCTGAAATTTTATTTTTTAAATTACAAAAAAATAAATTTATTGAAATTATCTAGACATATATGTATAGTGTAAAAGTAACGAAATCTTGTCATTCTGATATGAGTGCCAGGACACCATTGAAGGAATAAGCTGACAAAATACGAAAAGCTCGAGTAACCCTCACACCCTTTGGACCAGAAAAGAAAATTGGCACGCCTCCTCACGGCATGCTATCAAATTAACAGTCGGAAAAAGAAATGACTGCAAACATGAAGGATTCACCAGGTGTAAAACAATCTCTATCATGATTTTATGCTGGCCATTGTTCATTTAATTGCTAGGTTTAAAAAATAGGAAAAACTGACACAAACTGACACTGAAACTTGCCGCCATGAAATAGTAGAAACGGACACATCGGAACGTGTCTTATATGACTGCAAATTTAAGGCTCCTCATCTGTTGCCGCAGGAAAAATATGTACATGTAAAAAAACATGTTTTTTACTACTTTTATCTTCTTTGATCTTGAAAAAGGCTTAACAGATAAATTGTAAATTTACGTGGGTTTATATTTCAATACTGTATAGTAAAATGATGAATAAAAAATAATAAATAATTAAAAATAAGAAAGAAATGGAAATATTGGCTATAAAGTATTATAAGTTGAGTAGCATAATTGGATAGGAGCGGGCTCAAATTTACGAACTGTATACACACTTTTTGTCAAAAAATGAATAGAAATTAATTTAATAAGTATATTATAAAAAGAAAAGAAAAACAGTTTGCATTGTTTAATTGTATGGAATATAAATTTAGAAATAACATTAGTAGATTATTTTTTGTTAGTAATACGAATTAAGGTGTTAAATCCGTTATGTAGCAAAGGGAAAAACTACGAGGTTTTTTGGGAAAACACAATATTGTGGAAAAATTGTACAAAAATAATTCAAAAATCGTGAGATGCGGTCTGGTGTGATGTAGGTTTCAAAAAAACATTTTCTTTATTGTGCCAACGTTTCGATCTTTATTGAGATCTTCTTCAGGGCCTGGGATTTACGAACAATGTTTAAATTTAACAAATACATGTAAGATGTGGAAAAAAGTGAATTTTTACAATGCAAAAAATATTTTTTTTATATTCAATGTGTTTCTACTCACTCAAAGTTTTTGTTTTCTGGTTAATAAATATAAATAATAAATAATATAACTTTGATTGAATATAAAAAAATATTTTTTGCCTTGTAAAATTCACTTTTTTCACATCCTACTTGTGTTTGTTAAATTTGAACAATGTTATACGCGAGAAAGACAGGAAAGAGAAGGAATACATGCGGAGGGCCGGCGATGAGCTCAGCTGTTTGTCGGCCCATAAACCTTCCACTTTATATATATATNAATGAAAACTTAAAATCCTGCATTATTTTCCGGACAACCCAATAGCTTAGTTAGCTTCTCATATTATTTTTTTATATTTTAATTTGTATCCAAGGACCACGGTGGTTAATAATAATTGTTCTCTTACCAGCGGTTCTGGGTTCGAATCTCGGCCAAGCCCATGGAATTTAAATTGGTAATACATAATATGGATAAGGTGGGTACGGTAAAGTGGTTTGACCCCCTAGTCCGTGTCATTTAAAGGGTACTTGGACGCTAAGCCCTCTTGTATGACCAAGATACACAAAGTACTCAAAGTCGCGATAAAGTATAGATTTTCGAATCGCCCTAGAAAATACAAATTGTACGATGTCTAAATGACCATTTATCCGATCAACGTATAAATTAATAATTAAATGTTGAAAATTGTTAATGAATTAATGTGTAATTTGACTGTTTACTTCAGTAATTTATAAAATAGTTAAAAAAGTAATAACTTAATTCAATCAGAGCTTAATTCTAATTATAATCCCCATTTTAGAATAAAAAACTATCTGGGTCTTGTATTTTCAAACAACCATTGATAAATTAAGGATGTCCAGTCATTTAAGAGTTTTCAACAAATATAAACTAGTCATCTGTAATAATTTAAATTCTCATAAAATTTAGGTTGTACAATTTATATCTAATGATTGGTATACGTTAAGTTGTTTCTTTTTCCGTAAATATTTTCCGTAATTTATATTGTAATATTGTACATATTCTTTTTTATTGATAGAAAAGCAAAAAACGATGTAATTCCGGTCATGCAAGATGGCTTAATGTCAGACCATTTTATAAATGATGATTTTATTCCTCATAATTTACAATGAATTTTTCATACTATTATATAATCAATTGACAGACCATGCGGTTTGCCTGGGTTCGAACTCAGGACATCTAGTTTGGCAAGTACAAACCCGTTTCCTTAACCACTCGGCTACCGCGGTCCCTCCGTTTTATTTATAATCTAGTTTTGCACAATTAATTTTTGTATTAGTTCAAGTAATTCTATCTGTAAGAATTGAAAGATTTCCTATGTGCATATTTGCATAAATAAATAGTAAAGTTGCCTGCTCTCGCTCGTACTAGTAAACCTACTAAGCTAATTATTCAGAAATCGTGAGATGCGGTCTGGTGTGATAGGTTTCAGAAAAACATTTTCTTTATCGTGCCAACGTTTCGATCTTTATTAAGATCATCTTCAGGGCTCAAAGTGTTTGTCTTCTGTGTAATTGTGTCATTCTTGCGTGTCGTGTTGACAGTGCCCTGAAGATGATCTCAATAAAGATCGAAACGTTGGCACGATAAAGAAAATGTTTTTCTGAAACCTATCACACCAGACGGCATCTCACGATTTCTGAATAATTATCGATTAACGGTCACTAATCACCACACATTTCTACTAAAGTAAAATTAAAAATAAAACAGTAAATTTTATACCCAATCAAAAAATAAAAAGTAAAGTAAATTAATTCCTGTCATATGTTATAGCTTAACATCCCTCTACTATTGGGGGGCTAAATTTATAAAGATTTTCACATATTATTACCAATTAAAATTTCATGGTCTGTGCTCGAACTCAGAATCGCTCTTAAGAGAAAATTTATTATTAATAAAAAATAAATTATTACTGTTAGATAAGTTTTACATGTTGCTTGAAAAATAAAAATATGAATTAATTTGTTATTTCTATTAATTTTAGTTTGAAAAATTCCAAATTGGGAGAAAACCATTGTGAATAATCAATTTTAATAGGTCTTGAAATATTCATTAGTTGATCATTCAGAAAAAAAATTAAAATGTTACAAGTTAATCGACAAGGACGAAAAAAATAAAAAATAGATAATATAAATTTGCACATCGATATTTTTAGTTATTACTTTACCTCAAAACTACTTTCTAATTTAGGTCTGTTCTATCTATAATTTGTAAAATCTACACTATTTATAAATAATAATAATAGGCATGGTATGAGATGAGATTCAGTGTAAGTTGTCTTTCTGTTACCCTAAGTGAATCTGAAAACGGTCTACATTTTAACTATTTTGGATATTTAAAAGTAACTAGTTTTATTATAAGTTTTATAAGGATTTTGGTACCTTCAATAATATTAGCCGGTATTGTGAATTGTAGAGATCTGGAACGGAGATAGTTCAATATGCGATCCATGATCATTTCGTCCAGGACGTCGTCCTTCGTTCCCTGGTCGACGTGCGTTTTCGTATCGAACCTCGCCGACGAATTGTTCGCAGTTCCTGCGTCCCGGGTTATCGTTAGGAAGTCGTTGACGACCAGCGGGGCGTCGTAAGCGAGCGCTTTGTCCAGGAAGGCGAGAGCCTTGATCCTGATGCAAGTGCCCAGCCGGTCGTCGCCGCAGTTCTCCAGGGCGTTTTCCCGGATTTCCAGGCCGGTCGAGAGACCGAGGGAGACGAAGACGACGGCGAATACGGAGCGCAGCTTCATCGTGACTGTGTCAAAGGTTGGCAACAGCCCGTTTTATAACTGACGCGCGGTTCCTTCCCCCACCTGAGAAAAAATCAGAAGCTAGATCTTTTATCCCATTGAAGATTCCAGACTTTGTTTTTATAACCCCACCAACCAGGTATCGATTTATAATATCTCAGTCACTAAACTTTTAAACGTTTCGTAAAATAATTTGAGCAAATGATTTGTCAAAAAATGTTGTTAAGTATATGATATATTTATATAAAGTTTTAGGGTATATATGCAAATTAGGTCAGTGGACGTTTCTAAATAAATGATTTAGGTTGTGGGTAGGGTTTTTGTAGAAGCCAAAGATATGAGCAATCAAACTCATTAGGGAAGGACACTTCGGTCTTTCAAGCAGAAATACATGCCATCAACGCTTGTACCCTAGAAAATCTTAAAAGAGGTTACACTGGCAAAAAAGTCCTCATAAGATCGGATAGCTAAGCAGCTATTAAAGCATTAGCACGTAAAAAAATCACATCAAAATTAGTCAGTTAATGCATCCAAAATCTCCAAAACTTGGGGAAATACAACCTGATGTGGTTGTACAGAGGAATTTTGGCTAACGAGAAAGGCGAGAAAGCAGACAGATTGGCCAGAGGAGGATCTCGAAGACCATACATAGGCCTCGAACCTATACTTGGGATAACTAAACAAAAGTGAACTTTTTTCAAGAACACAATAGGGGTATTCACGATGTTTGTTAGATGTTAACTCGAATAGAGAAATGTCCATAAGATCTTAAACGCCCGCTTCTTTTCTTAGCATGTTAAATGTTAATTTTTCGTAATGCTGTGCGTGGCGACTGGTAGAACCACAAATAAAGCTATAACAGTCTTTGAAGGATTGATGTTTGATATGGTTTTGTTTTGTTTTAGACTGTAAGATACCAGAAGTTAGTAAAAACGGAAAATTAATCAACTAAATACTATATACGATAAATTAATCGTAAAGTGCTAACAAATGACACGCTTCCATTAGTGCCGACATACTTAACTTATACCCTAACGGCCTACTACCTTATAGGATAGAAGATGTATCTTCTATGAATGAGAGTATAAGGATAGGACAGAAATTAACAAAAGAAATGTATTGGTCTGATTTAATTTATGCGTGTTGAAGAATAAAAATACGTGTAAACACAAAACAGCTGTTAAATTCATGGCTGCCATGTTGGTTACCAACGCCCTAACAGATAGCAATGTGACTGCACTTTCGACCTAACATCCAACATTGGCCCTACCCTGTTAGATAAAGCAAGGTTGACGAGTGCATACTAAAGGAAAAACTATATGTTTAATGTAAAGAATGTATTTATTAGCGTGAATTTTCAATGTCTAATGTCTGACGACCAATAGCCGAGTTCCATCCATCGATCTTACTTAGATTAGTTTGAATATAAAGCGTTCGAGGAGTGATGTGTGCTCCATCATACTAAAGGAACAAACTATATGTTTACTGTAAAGCATGTATTTATTAGTGTGAATGTTTAGTGAGGCAGAGCTTATGGAATATTAAGCTCTACATCGATCTTACATGGATTCATTGTACAATTTGTATACTAGCCGATTCATAGAATTCTTCATCATCATTTTTCTCGATCTAACACGACCTAACCGAGTTAACAGGGTTAACACGAAGATCGTGAATATCCCTTATCAGTATTCTGGAGACCGACCTTAATCCGATTGAACATCTGTGGGATATGCTAGGTAGACGGATTAGAGCTTGACCGTCATTGCGGAAACACTGCAAGACCTAGAGACTTCGCTTGATGAAGAGTAGGCCAACATTCCGCAGAATCAGATGGAATCCTGTATACGAAGCATGCCAAGACGCATGCACGCCGTAACTAAAGCCCGTGGTGGTAACACCTCTTACTAAAAATGTTGTTTTTCGTTCATAAAATAAATTTTTATTTGCATTTGTTCTTAAATTTCCCCATTTTTCATACATTTTAATATTCGAGGTCCACTACCCCAGAAAACTCATTGTTTAATTTCGAAATTACATTAAGCAAGAAACAATTTTACAAAATCAAGGTGGCCTGTTTTTAACAACAATAAAGAGTTTAATTTAGAAAATCAAAGTTGACGGTGTTTTTTGTGCAACTGAGTGTACTAAAATTTGACAAACACACTATTTCGATAAATTTTAGTAAAGGAAATGATAGGCTTATTAGATTATTACTACCAGTTTCAATTTAAATTAAATTCCAATTTTCTTCAATATTAAATTCACTAGTTTTCGTGGTCCGCTTGACCAATTAACATCTTTCAATTAATTAAGGCTTTTAGTTGAGATAAAAAAGTCATTGTCTCGAGCGGGATTCGAACCCACGATCTTCGGCTAGATACGCCGCTACTCTACCACTTGAGCTATCGTGACCTCGATCCACTCGGACTTGATTCTCAATCTAGAATCAAATAGATTACACGACATTTGAAAAATGGCAAAAAGGAGGGAAAATTCGAAAGGTGGGGTTGAGATGGGAAGTTTGTGTCCGAGTGGATCGAGGTCACGATGGCTCAAGTGGTAGAGCAGCGGCGTATCTAGGCGAAGATCGTGGGTTCGAAACCCGCTCGTGACATTGACTTTTTTATCTCAACTAAAAACCTTAATTAATTTTTTCAATATGTACGTACATTAACTAATAATAATGATTTGTAACAATAATTATTATATCTTTATTACTGATTTCACTAAGTATGAGTTCGAAACAAGCCCTCATATTTTTTTCCAATGTCTGGTTTACCCTACAACATTACTAAGCCGAAACAGTTTATTTGAATTGTCCCGGTATCTTAGTAATTATTTAATTTCAAAGAAATGTTCTATTGTGGCTGGGGTGTGCATTGGAAAGGACCCAACGAGAGTTCAATTTTGAAAACTGCCTAAGGAACAGCAATCTGATTGAAAAGGAATGGGCAACTCCAAAAGCGACTAAAACTGGAACAACCATTGTCGGTGCTATCTTCGTTGATGGTGTAGTCTTCGGATCCGATACTAGAGCAACAGATGACACCATTGTCGCCACTAGAACTGCTCTAACATCCATTCTTTTGCAAAGAACACATCTTGTTATGGAGCAGGAACTGCTGCGGAAATTGATATTACTGTTTGATGACAGGGAGAATTATCCCCATTGTTACTTCAAATACTTTGTTGAAACAGTTGCTTTTTAGACATCAAGGATGTATAGGTGCTATATTAAATTTAGGGGATATTGATTACTGTGTACTGCATCTCTATAGTAATCATCCTGATGGTTCAATTGACAAACTTCCTTATACAAGCATGGAATCTAGTTCCCTCGCCGCTCTAATCAATAATCACCTTACAATAATCTTAGCACGTAAGATTCCATTGTAAGGTGCGACCCTCACGTCGTATCCCGACCAGGCACCTCCCCGTGGTCCATCCTGGGCACGGCTTCAGCCGTGGCTAACGCCTGGTGAGGTGGGGTTGGGCATATGGTTCAAACCTGTGTAAGTCCGGAAACGGACATAGGTACAGGCAGCCTCAGACCTTTGAAGGTTCCCTCGCCGCCATTAATGTACTTCAATCCCAGTGGCACCCGAATATGAGTGAGGAGGATTGCAATGTGGAATCTTGGTATCCTCAATGATTCAGGATCATGAAGTTACTACGATCTTTAAGAAATCATTAAAGGAGACACTGTTGATTACATTAAAACTTATGATGTTGCAAACATGAGACAATGAAGGAAATTATCGCTTTGTCCTGGCAGAACACTTGTCCTTTCTCACAGATTGATCCCGTTAGAAGTGGAGAGTGAAGAAGGAAAGAGAAGTACCAGAATAAAGAGCCACATCATCGTAATTATATTTTGTTTTAACCAATTGATGAGATACATTATTGAGAAACATAATATTTAATAAATAAATCATTTTCTTTTTTTAAATAAAATAAAAATATCATAAAAATGGCAAAGAATCATAAATATGACCAGCTTTTTATATTCAAATCTTTATGCCTCTAACTTACTTCCTGTTCTTTGAAATTCTTTTAAAATCTTCTTTCTATTTTCCTTTGAGCTTTTAATTCCCTCTCCAGGCAGTAACTGTGTTTGTTTATTAGTTTGTATGTGATCAGCCCAATTGCACTGAAGGTTTTAACTTTTATATTTATGTTCCGCATTATCGTTTTATTTTGTGTTTAATTATGTGATAAACTATACAAAAACAGTGATAACGAATACACACAATTTTGGATACAATACAAACGACAAAACACAACTGCGTTTTGCAATGTACACTAGAAACGACGGCATGTAAAAATTGAACACATTCAACACTAAAACCACCCGTGAATACACAAACTGATAACAGCACACATGTACCATTCACACAATTTAAATCTTTAAGACATTGTACAAATATAAAAAGAAAAAGAACGATTATTTCAAAGACTTAACAGAACAAAAATAAAACAGTCTGAAATAGCGATAGTCAGGCTTATTCGACTTTTCATGAACTAATAAAACAGGCTCGACTATACGAAAATCACCCAAGCTGCACTGAAAATTGTGGAAAGCCTAAACAGCAAGGGTAAGCAGACCAAAATTACCAAAACCGACCAAATTACAATTTTTTTCAAGGTTTTTAAATATTTTTCTTTGTACAAAATAACTCTATATAAAAATCTGACGAAGTAATGCCTGGACTAAATAGTAAGTTTGGTCTTTACTACGTCAATAGTAAGTTTGGTGACCACTTTAAGATTGATCAATTTTGGCCAACGATCTGATAATATCGCCATTTCTCATCCATTTTTTATGGTAACTAATTGCAATTGTTGTTTAGAGTTCATAGAACTATCATTTTTAAAACTTAAGTCCTTGAAGGACCGGTTTTGACCGCAATCACTCTCGTTGTTCAGGGTTTCGTCATAGTCACACAAGGGATTTTTAGGATGAAGGGACTTCGCAAGTTTTTATCTCATTGCCTTGC